CTGTTGCATTGTAGAAGCTGTTCTGTAAGCAAACCTATTTCTGGTACATTTGTCACCAAGATGACTATCAAAATACATCAGGTTTCATTTCTTTTTCAAAAGTATCAACCTCTCTCTCGTCACCTTCTTAGTTATGGGGGCACGATTTCTGAAAAATGGTATCTCATCCAAAACTGCAGTTACTCAGCCCTCTCTTAGCTCTACTACATGATTTATGGTTTCTGGTAGAAAGTCTGGGGCAAAACCTGTTCTTGCTGGGAGCTGCTAATTGTAAGGTAGCGCAATTTCACATGCTTTTTTAATACCTATGTATATTTAGCCTAGCTTCACAAAATTCAGCTCTTCTCAGTGACAGGGAAATAGAACAGTTTTCCCTACTTTCTGGACATTTCTTTTGGTCCAGAAAGCAGAAACTTCTAACTGGCATTTCATCCCTCACTTTCTCCTTCCTAACCTCTTACAAATTAGGACTGCCCAAACTAAGGGCAAGACTGCCCCTTTGGGTCCCTTGAGTGGAATGTATCAATTTCCTGTTTAATAGGAACAGATCTAGAAAAATAAATAATGACATAATATATTCATAACTTTAAAAAATTATCCCAATTCTCCTTTACATTTCAGTTTGTGTAATGATCTGTGCCTTGTCAAAGTAAGTACGCATCAGGTACAGCTAGGTTTGTGTTACTGTGTTTTGATCCTGTTTTACATCCACGCCTCAGATGCACCTACATCAGGCTCATGTAAGATATCATTTTAAAACATGGAAATATTCCAAAACTGCTGTGCACAGCTAGGAATGATGGATTGGTCTCCTCAGTTCTTATCAAGTATGAACAACTGGGTTTTGAAAATAATTTAACCTTTTGCAGTACGGTTGGAATCCCATGTTGATGTACACAAGAACTTCCCCAACGGTGTCCTTCTGGAGTCTGACAAGGTCTCAGATGTCCTTGTAACTTTTTCTGCCTGTCACGTAAGGGGCAGGGCAATGTTATTAGTGCTACTCATTACCTTCTGTCACTTTCTGGCAGACAGCTGGGATCTCAATGCCCTTCATATATGGGTTGTTTCCTACCAGTATTAAGAGACTTACTGTAAATATTTCACCTTCTTTTTGAAATAGTTTTCTCTCAGTCTGTTGAGAATACCAAAAAAAAAAAAAAAAAGAAAACCTTTGTATTTCAATGTGTTAGAAAGCATAGTCAGTGATGGGATCTGGCTAATTTCCTGCCTCTGTGTTTTGAAGTATGTTAACTGTACAAAAGAATAATTTCCAAAAACTGCACACCAGCCACCCACTTCAATTTTTTAGGGAAGTGTTTTATCCTATCTTACAGTTGTCCAAGAAGCAGTCTTGTAAAACAGGAAAATTCCCCAAAATTTCAGAGAAGTTTTTGACTACTTCATCTGATTCAAAGAGGCAAAAAGAGAGACTTTCAGCAACATTCTCAAAAGCACAGGCTGACAGAGCTCTGGTAAGTGTGGTGATACCCTGCCCCAGGTGGGTTGAATAGATTCTCTTTTAGCAGTGAGACCAGCAGCTGCGTCTCAGGTCTCAACGGAGATAGTTACAATGCAGGCAGCAATCTCTGTTCCTGCAGTAGGCATGGGAATAATTTAAAACTAATGCTTCAGCATAACTCAGTTACCAGTTAAAGACAATGAATCACTCAGGAGGCTCTTCTGAACTTGAGCTAGGCAAAAGGTGTCAAGCAAGTCCTTAGCATCAGTACTGTGTTGACTCGTATTGCAGCTGTGCGCTAGAGATACTACCCTTTCCTACTTACAGAGGAAATTGTTAGTGCAGGCAGCTGCAGTTCTCTATAAACCTACATTTGTTCTCATTCAAGAGAATTATTCCATTCTCATTCCATTAGCCACCAGTGTTATTTAGCAATATTTCAGCTACCACTTTCTCCTAAGCCAGTTCAGCATACTAGGTTGAGAAATCTGATGGTCAGATTTGTTTTTGCTCAACGCATTTCTGGTACATTTAGGTTTGATGTGTTTAAGGGATGTTGTTGCCACTTAGAAGCATCTTTGTTCTGATTCTTGGAAAAATCTGTATCTGTATCTGTTCCTTCTATTGGAGTGGCTTCTCTAAAAGAAATACTCTCTTTATCCAGTGGGTCTCATCTTGCACTGGAATCTGCTCCCAGTTCTGTTGGAACATGCGTAGAATACACCTTAAGTTTCACACCTTCCCATCTGTCTTCTCATGGACGAATATGCACTACCTGCATGGTACTCCAAGGACACCTTTCTGGTTTCCCAAACCCCAACTCACCAGGAAGCATGCCACAGGTATCTGAAACTATCATATACGACAGACAGTCCACTTGGTGTCTGGCAATAATTTTCCACTATTGAGTTCATCAGGTTCAGCTCATTTATATCGGCACTGGCTGAAGAGACAAAGGTAGAATTCAATGTCCACCTCTACTAGTTATCTTTTTATGTCTTCCCTTGGATACCATACTTTTATGACTACTATATGTTAATAACAATAGGCAACTCCATAGCATTCCAAGCAGAAGCATTAATAATGATGTGTGATCTTTGTCTGCTAATAGCACAGAATATTTCCTTGACTATGGCAGTACCTTAAAACCTGGAATCTAGACCAGTCAGCTACCTTGGTTTATGATTTTGTGACTAACATGGCAGTTTTATCCAGGATATTTTTCTATTTTTGCATTTGAACTACTTCCATGCTCAGCCTGTGGTATCTATTTCTTGTATTGATGAAAAGCAAATGTTAAACTCTGTCCAGACAGAGAAGAAACCAAAACAACCACATCTCCTGGGAAGGAAAATTTATTCTTTACTCTAGGCTCAGAATAGTTCATGACTGATCTATACTGCTGAAGAATGATTCCACCTACCAGGACCAAGTCACAGATATTTGAGATAAACTTTTGAGAGAGGACTGTTCTGATTTTACATAATGTATTTTTAGATTGAGTTTGTGGTGAAATTTGTTTAACAGCTTGAAGATTCATGAGAAACGGGTCTGGTTTGTTACTTCTGGCCTTCCTAAGAAAGTAATGTATAACCAGTAGTTCAAGACTTTGCTTCTGCTGCACAGAATGCATTTAATCCAAGGAAGATAGAACAGACTTCCTAAAGGACTCTATATTTACCTCAGGATCTTTACAGCTGTGCTTTCTTTAGGGAGAGGCAGATTTAGATTTCCGGAGTACTGCTGAAAGGAGATTTCATTCTGAACAACCAGACCAACTTCTTATCTTAGATTTGTGTCTTTAGAAATCCATAGCATAGAAGGAAATACACACCTGAGGTCTAGAAAGGAAGAGACAAAGTCAGTACCCTGTTGTTCATGTAAGCAGCAGTTCTGATGCTAGATTTGTAAACTTTATCACTTTTGTGGTTCTTCATCCTTCATCTTCCCATCTTTTGCTTTTCAAAGAGGATGGCTGTGGAATTACTAAAGCCTCACAACATTTTTCAGAATCGGGTTGCAGCTTACATGAACTGAGGAGACACACCTCCATTGCTTTGCATTTATGCAGATACCAATACACAAGCTTTGGAAAGGGAGTTGTGTTTTGGGCCAGTGCCTTCATTACCTTTGCAGTGCTGTTCACTGAGAATTTTCATTTTCTCCTTTGCTCCCTGCAGGCTGACCACACTGGCAGGAAAGAAAACCCCTATGCATGTGTTTACCTGAAGAACCAAGGAAAAATGACTCCATAAGTATTTTTTCACAGGCACCTGAGTTTTATTTTTGATAGAGCATGCTCAGGGCGGGGTCAGCTCAAAGGGCAAATATTAAAAATGACAGAAAAGTCCTGTATTGGCAGCAGTGTATTAGAACTACAGATGGCCTTACCTATTAATGCACCGCAAGCTATTAAATAGGCAAATATATATCTATTATTTACTTAGGAGCCAGTTCATAAGCTGTTTTTGATTCTCAAGATGTTTTTTCCCAAATACATATGTAAGCAGCAGAAACTGTCCAAATGAAGTATGTCCTGGGGCATGGTAGAGACTTAAGAGAAACTTAAGGTAGTCTACGCAGAAACTTACAAAGAAGTTTAAAGGAACTGTCAGTTACATATTTTTTTCCAGTGTGCTCCTGTTGATGAATGGACAGAGTAAGGAATGTAAACAACCCCAGTGACTTCAAGGACTGCATAGATTTGTGTGTGCGGTATGCACATAAACTGTAACTGGGATGGACTAATGAGCTGGGTCCAGCCTTAGAGGCACAGCACTGCCAGTCCCTGGGATTCTTCATCACAATCAAATCTTTACTAATAACTGCAGATGCAGATTTAGCTGTTATGAAAAAGCAGGCTGTAATCACCTGTACGCCTTTGCATGTCCTCTTGAGGATACACAGTGTATAGACGATGGAATTAGAGCGATGATCACCAGAAGATAAAGTTCCCCTGCACCAACCCCGGGACTGCTAATGGAGGTGGCCACGGGAGATCCCCACGTTAATAAGCTCAGCTCGTGAAAGGAAAGCGCTTGAAGCACCAGGTATAAATTAACAGCACGCTCCCAAGCCTTGATTCCGCTACCAGCCTCACTTCCTCGGCAAGGTAAATTATTTAGAGAGAGGTGTTCTGCGTTATTTCCAAACGCAGCGGACCGCCGTTGGGTTTATCCTCCCTTTCCCATGCGTGTCAGGAGCCGCTGCCCGTCGCAGATGGGCAGACCCCGCGGGTCAGGGGCAGCTCCCCTCCCTCAAGCGGCCGCAGCCGCCTCCCCTCACTGCCCCGGCTACTTCCCGGCCCTGCCGAAACCTCCCCACCTCGGCACCCGCTCGCCTTGACGGTCGGCGCGAGGCGACTTGAGGCGCGGCGCTCGGTAACGCGCCTGCGCAGCTCTCCCGGGCATGCTCATTAACGGCGAAGGAGCCGAAAAAGGGAAAAAAAAAAAAAGAAAAAGAGAGGAGGTTAAAAAAAAAAAAAAAAAAAAAAAAAAAAAAAAAGCACCACCAAACCCTGAGCGCGAGCGGCGCCGCTGACAGAAACCCGCCGGAGAGCCGCGGCAGCGGTGGGGCTGCGCCGAGCACGGCCCCGTTCCTCTCACGCCTTGGCTTCTCGCAGCCTGACGCGCCACCGCCGTTAGCTGCGGGTCGAGCCGCAGCAGCAGAGCCGGCGCCGTCCCCTCAACGGGGCGGAGGGGCCGGGGCGGGCTGCAGGGGAGCCGCGAGGCGCCGGCAATGTGGATTTATATTCGCCCGCGCCGTAGCCGCCGGGGAGCGGGGCGCGGGCACCGCACCTAGAGGCGATGGGAGTAAGCCGTCGGCGGGGCTGAGCCGGGGCGCTGCTGAAAGTTCAGCCGGTGGCCGCGCTCGGTAAGTTTGCTGGGGTAGGCGGGAGCGGCGCCGCGGGCGCCCGAACTTCGCTTCTCACGGGCGGTGGCCGCGCCGGGGTGGCGCGGGGTGTGTCCAGCCCCGCCGGGGTGCCCTGCCCCGGGGGAGCGGGAGCTGCCGGGCGCTCTCAGGGGGTGTTTTGTGGGTGCTGCCTGGTGTGTACGTGCCGCTGCATGTGTGCGGGAGGCGGCGGAGCGGGGCGCGCGGCTCCGCGGCGGATGCGGACTCTTCGCGGGCTCAGGCACTGGCTGCCCTCGCACCCGCAGCGGGGCTCCTTCGCCCGCGGTTGCAGCGCGCTCGGCGCGGTCCAGCGAGCGGGCAGGGATGGGCTGTCGCGGCGCGGGGCTCTGCCCGTCCGGCCGGGATGGTGGTGCCCGGCCCCCGCGGAGGCGAAGCTGGGCGGCGGCCCCTGACTCGTGTGCGCGGATCTCCGCGGGGAAAGGCGGGGCGCGCTGCCGGGAGCCGCCGCCCGCTTCCCCTTCACCCCCGTCCCCGCGGGGTGCCCCGGAGCGGCGCTCGGCTCCGGCTCCTTCCCCGCGGAACGCCGCATCCTCGGTGCGCGCAGCGCTAAGGTGGCTCTGCCGGGGCAGCGGCACCGCGCTCACTCGCGCCGGTGCGTGGGGCTGCCTTGCTCCTGACGGATTCTCAGGTGTAGTCTGTGAAACGTGCGTCTAGCGTATTCCGCGTGTGCTGGCTGCGGGATCCGGCACTCTCCAGTTTTAGGCGAGGCGAACTGCCGCTTTCGACTGGTTTGATTCTTTTTTTTTCCCCGAAATACGGTACAGCTGTAGCTCGAGACTGACGCTGCAGGCTTGGCTGGTGAGTGCTTAGGCTGGCGACTGATACGATTGGGGTACGTAGAGAGGTCCCTGTTTCTCGGGTGTTAACTGTACAGTCTTGCCGTGTTAAACGCCAACACGTTTACCTTAGCAGGTATAGGGTTTGCTTGTTCTAATCCTCAAATCAAAGGCAAGAACTTCTCAATTCCCCCCCCCCCCCCCAATTCTATAGCTTAAACATATGTTGTCTTTTCCAACTGTATAACTATCTTAGTAATAGCCGTTCATTGATTGTGCTCATAATATCCAGAGGTTGTAGATACCCATCTTGATTGCACTGATGCTTCTCTGATAATTAACGAGTCAGATACACTGTACTGTGGAAATAAACACCAGCTGTCCGTGTGGTGGGGCAAGCATCTCAAACATCTACTACATCTCCAAATGTTTTTGCAGTAACAAAACCCCACCACTTCTAGTGCCTGTCTTTTCACTGTTAATTGTGAAGCTTAGCGTAGAGCAGTTTGATGTATGGCTGTTGTAGAGAATACTTTGTGAATCACAAATAGGAAGATACAGTGTAGTAGGGAAAGAGCTGTCCATCTGAAGCTGAGGCTCAGCCCAATAGTTTTCCTTCTTTCCTGTCCACAGTTTCTTTTCAAAGCTTATTTTATGCATCTCATGTAATACGATGTGCTCATTTCAAAATACTTCTCAGATGCAATACAGGCTTGTTAATAAACTAATTGCTCTTTTCCCTATAGATAGCATATATCGATAATACAAAATCATCAGAAGTTAATGTATTTTTAATGCATCTGTGTGTTCTGAGGGTTTTGGCTTGTTTCAGAAACTCAAATCTTTTAACAGCTTGGGGATTTAGGAACCTTTGTGGGTGTTGCCTTTCTTTTGTTATATCACAGTTTTGTTTCAAGGAATGATTAGAAGTTTTCTGAATAGCACATTCCCAGTAGTTTTTGTTCTGCGACTCTGATCTTTAAAAAAAATGCAAGAAAACTGCATTACAGATACTTAAATAAAATATTTTCTTTGAAAGTGAAAGGTTACTTCAATTTGCCAAATTTTAAAAATTTAAATGTCACAAAAAAAAAGAAGAAAATTCTTATTAAAAGCAACTCTTAAGAATGTGGGAATGCAAATTACTACTCAACATCTCAAGCAGTCAGACGTAGAAGTGAATGAACATGTTGTATTGATGGCTTATGTATAAAAAAGCCATTGAAGTATATTCAGAGTTTGATAAAAGCAGTGTTATGAGAAAAAAGATATAGCAAAGAAAATCTATTATTACTCATTTGGTGTGGCATTGTAATTTAAAATGGTAGGCTTTATAACTGAAGAAACAGCATGGTTGGTTATACATGTGCCTGTAGTCACATATGGAGATAGGCAACATTTTTGCTCTGCAGTGGTGGTTTAGGAATAGGTAAGCGTGTACTTTCTTCTTTTCCTTGAGGTAGGAGATGCTGAGGATTGGCAGTGATGCTAACTGGAGCAGGCAGGACATTACCTCCATGTGATTCATGAGGTCTAAATGGTATTAATTTAATTTTTAAATGATCTTACTTGAAAAATGTAAGAAGAATAGTGCTGCTTAATTTGTCATTAACTTAGGGCTCTGGAAAGCATGAAAAGCCATCCTCTCCATTTGGTTAGAAATATTTGTTGTTCCCATTTTACAGAGTGGGAGAATGGTGTGTCCTTTCTCTGCTTCAGTCACTGTAGTGGGACTAGTTTCAAATGTTTTAGAGACCAGATGTTAAATTGGTGATGGTGCTATGTCTACCGTTCAGAAGGTTCTGATTTCTTGCTCACCTAGTTTTGTCTATTGATCAGGTGTCAGTACCACTGAGTCAATGTTCAACACCTGGCAACTATAAAAAACGTCAAGTCAACAAGATTTCAATGGCACTGGCTGCATCTTGCTAACACCTGACATTCTACCCAGGTGTCACTGTGTAGTCAGTCCTTTGACAATATTTTTGGGACTAAATAAAGCTGAAAATATGCAGTGTCTTGGTGTTATCTCTCTTAAACAGAGTCTCAGGGGTCTTATAAGCGGGATATGTTATGACTCTTCTTGATGACTTACAGAAATGCATACATTAAAAACATGAATGTAAGCAGGTTTTTCTAATGAAAACCTCTTTTTGAAAACTTCTTTCAATAAAATACTGAGGATCACCAAAAAATTCAAAAAAAACCCATACTAAATATCCAGTGGACTAACCTATACTGAGCAAACAAGTCAGTTTCTTTCCTCCTGTATTTGCTGTTCTAACAGAGTATTTCTGAAAACTGATCGAAAGATACTTAAGCTACTTCATTTTATTTAACACAGTTTCTCTACTACAAATCTGAACTTCACTATATTGCGTATATTATTGAAAATAAGAAACTATTTTCTTCGGTTTTACTCTGTTACACTGAACTATTTTATTTGTATTTCTCTATTTAAAAGAGCAAAATCATAGGTATTTTATATTCATCACTTTGGCTGAAGCTGTAGTGTGAGACTGTTGTATTGTTTTCTACTGTCTAGTACAGAATTCTTATTTCAGCATTTTAGAAAACAAGCAGTGTAAGATTGGAGGGAAAAGATAACTTCCAGTTAAATGTGTTGTCTATCAGTATACTGAAATAGAAATGACAGTGTTGAATTGGGCTTAGCACTGGCTTGTTGCTTTGGAAGGCTTCCCTCTGCAGTGCTTATTTTCTGTAGCATTAATGAGCAATTACTGCACTCTTGGAGTTCACAACCCCTTTTAAGTAGACAGTACTGCTTGTTCCAAATTATAGGTGTATTTTTTTGGTTTGCTTGTAGGTTGTTGGCATTTTTGGTGTTTTGGTTTGTTTGCTTTCCTGAATGCAGAGATGTTTGATGTTTGCTGAGGCTTTTGAGAAATGTATGAACTCCTCCCCAAGGGGTTTTAAGTATAAAGTTCTGCTTTGATACAGTATATGTCTTACCTGTACATCTCTTTCTGTCTATATGGACTTCAGTCTTCAATAACTGACAACATTTTGATGTATTTCAAAGAATTCACGTTTCCATTATTGAAGGGTTGGGGGTTAGATCTGAAAAAGGGTTGTAAGCAAATAGTCCCTTCTGTAACTCTGTTTCAGGACTGTAGGTAGATTTGGAATGCTATTTTGGATGACATTTTCACGCAGCTGCTCTTGCATCATTTTCTACTCTAAGGAGTAATGGCTTTATGCATAATTTTGTTCATATGAATGTTCATGGACTGTGACATGATGTTGGGGTTACAGAGGAGTGTGTTGTGTAGCGATGCAACTTTTAAAGGAACATCTGCTAAAAGGGAGTTCTCTTGGGACTGAAGTGGTCATTAATGAAGTACTGGCTGCAGTGTGTGCATGCAGTGTATTTGCCTCATCTACCAAAGAGGTTTGTGTTGGGTCATATTAACTGCAGAGACTTGGTGAGCATAGATGGCATATATGAATGTGACTGCATTGACTTTGAGAGTGCCACCTCAGCAAGTTTGCCTGGTGATATAAAGCTGGGAGGAGTGGCTGATACCCCAGAGTGCTCTGCTTTCATTCAGAAGGATCTAGATAGGCTGAAGAGAGGGGCAGAGGGGAACCTTTTGAAATTCAGCAAAGGCAAGTGCAGGTTGCTGCACCTGGGGAGGAATAACCCTGTGTGCCATGCATGCTGGGGGCTGACAGGCTGAAAAGCAGCTCTGTAGACAGAGACTTGGATGTCCTGGTTGGACACAAAGTTGTCCATGAGCCAGCAATGTGCCCTTGTGGCCAGGAAGGCTGGTGGTGGTCTCAGCTGCATGAGGAAGAACATTGCCAGCAGGTTATCCTCCCTCTTTACTCAGCCCTGTTGAGGCTTCACCTGGTGTACTGTGTCCAGTACAAGAGAAACATGGAGCTCCTGGAGCAAGTCTAGCAAGGAGCTACTAGAATGGTCTGAAGCACCTCTCCTGTGAGGAGAGGCTGAGGGAGCTGGTCCTGTTCAGCCTAGAGAAGAGAAAGCTCAGGGGTAAGGATTGGTGGACTGGTGGGCTTGACAGAGAATCCAAATCTGGGCGATAGTTGACTGGCCTCCATTTTGTTTCCTCTTTACAAGGGCTCTGACCCTATGGAAACTGTTTCCAAAAAGTGGTAAGAGCCAACAGTGCAGTGGGGAATATGATGGGGTTTTCACATACTGGTTGGAGGAGTGAGACCTTCTAGCTCCATTTCTGTGGAATAGAAAGATTCATGGAGGTTTTCTGGCTTATCTGAAAAAAACACATATCTTTTTTTAAAAGCAAGTGGGTAAACTACTTCTCTCATAACACTTGTTTTTGTTCCAGAAAACACTTTTCTTTTTCAGCTATTCTTATGTGTGATACAGTTTTTCTGGTTTAGCTGTGCAGCCCATTTTGTTTCTGAATTCATTTCTTACTCAAGGCATTAGCCAACTACCGGACAGGGAACGTGTCACTGGGAAGGAAATGAATGCAGAAGCAGCATTGCTCATTATGTGCTTTCTGACGGTCTTCAGTATAAGCCTTCCTGCTTGCTCCTATAAGCCGTCCTCAGAAGGAATATTTATTATTCCTCATATACCAGTTTCTTCTTTCAAATTCTGTCATCCACATGTGTACCACAGACCCCTTTTCACCTTTGAAGACCATACCACTTTCCCAGATGGTGCATCTGGTGCCCCTTCTTCACCAAATTATTTCATGCTCCAAACTACTGCTGTGTTTTTCTGACTTTGTTCTCTACACCATTCACCAGTTTTTCCTGCTTCCTCTTACTCCTACTTTTCCACAGCTCTTAGCCCTTTCTGTTCACAGTATTTGAGAACCATGCTTGAAGGTCTCATTCTTCTAGCCACCTGATGTCTTTTCTAAACCATAGCAACTAAATATCCCTCACCTTCTATACATCCAGGTTGTAGATGCATCTATGAGCTGACTTTCAATTCTTTTCCTCAGTTTCTTTCCCAGCTCTTTTCTCAGAGTTCCTGTTTCATCCAGAATTTTGTCTGCTTTTCTGCAGGGCTCTGTCTCATCGTGTCGAGCCCTTCTGTTTCATGAAGTCCAGCGAATTGAAATCTACACAGTTCTGCTTTCAGCTGCTTTTTCACAACTTTGATCTTGCCCATCACCAGCCTCCCCTTATAGTCTCTCCCAGAGGTAAGCCTTTCTCCACCATCTCTTTCCTACATGTTTTCATTCAGATCTGAATTTGGGAAGTAAACTGCACCCTTACTAGGGGTGCCACATACCGGGCTCTGGAATGTGGAAGTGCCACATACCAGGTTCTCCAACATGAGGTCAGTGTTGGATTGAGAACTCAATAGGTTTGTGAGCTTTAGTCTTTATTTCCCTTTCCCTCTTTTTTATTAGTACTTTGGCTGCTACACAAATTCTATCCCACCTCTATAAAATGCAAATCATTCTCTTTGATTTACTGCCCATGCAGTGCCCTCAACTACTAAGATAGCATTTAAATGTATATCATAGTAAATTTTTGTTAAGTCTGTGTTACTATCTGGCTTTAAGTGATAAAAATCTGGTTATAGGCATGGTGACTGGTGGTGTTTCTTCTTCTTTCTTCTTCCTGTAATATGGGTGGTCAGTTTATTACAAAAGAGCAGCCCTATAGTCAGAATTTGCACCTAGATATTTCCTACCTTAGGACATGACGGATTTTACATAATGTTGACTAGCTACTTCTATCAGGAGAGGTGTCCTGTTGTGGTTTCTTTTTGGTATAAAATAGCATTTTGGTGGTTGAAGTTCTTAATATGTGCAGACTGTCTTCAGATATAGCATGTCTGCATAATTTGTTCTCATTGTTGTTGTAAAGATGCCTCTTGCATTTGTCCAGATGATTTGGTGTCTACAAACAGTGATGTTCCTTATCTGTGCAATGCATTTTCATGCATGTTTGGGAGAATGTGAGTGCTGCACTCTGTTACAATGTAATTATATCATTGTACCATTTGGAGTTTATCAGCCCATTAGCTGTACTGTAGATTTCCATAAATTCCATACATTTCAATAAATCAGAGCCGCCATGGACTGAATATGTTTAAAGAATACAAAGAGTAAATCTTAGTAGTAAGCACTTAGTAAGTAAGTAATAATTTGGTTATTAAAACATTGGAGGATGTAGCATGTGATGTTTAGTGTGGGAACTTTAGTATTACCATTGCCTGTTGTTTGAACCTTGCAGTGCTATTTTGAGAACTCATATTTTGGTGATGCTTATTAAATAAAGCATTAATTGAGAGGAAATGGGCCAGCTTCTTACAGGTGTAAGTAGGTGTATTTCCACTGGTGTGACATATGTCACCAAATGTTGTATTTCCACCTGTGTGGAAATGTGCCATGGATTTCATCAGTGAAGTCATGTCAAGTGGTTCAGCAGAGGATTTGATCCTGATTTACTTCCCTAACGAACGGTTTGAGCAGGGAATGAGAAGGAAGGGATAAAGTGTCTTTCATATGAACTTGTGTAAATGTAGATAGATAGCCATCATTTCTGTGCCATGCTGTGCAGTTTTATTGTGTGACTAAAGCAGATTCTTATCTCTGCAGACAAACTGGAGAGAAGAGTTAGTATGAACATAGTCAACTATAATTTAATTGTGCAACCTTTTAATGTCTCATTAACACACTTTATTTAAAGTTACGTTGTCTTTATAAATGTTAGGTTAAATTGGCTGCTTAGATAAAGAGACTTTCAAGTCTATAAAGCATAATAATTTTACTTATGGTCAGCAGCTTTAGCAGTTGCCATAAAATATATTAATCGTTTTAATTTCAACAGACTAAGTTATCAGTTGATAAGTAGTCAATAGTAAGAAGAAATTGCCTTTTAATGTTGCTTATATTCAGTTCATAATATTTTGGTAGTTGATTGCGAGTTACAAAATTGAATTTTGGCATCACAAAGCGTATCTGAGCAGTATTGAACTGCTGTGAGCAATTCATACTAAGCTTTCTAGAGTAGCCGCTCCAGACTATGAGAAATGGTTTTATATGTTGATGTTACCATTCCCAAATGCAAACCTGTAATGTTCATGAGAGATTACCATAAGTTACTGAACTTTTATTTTGAGATTTCATTTAGGTACTATATCAATAAGGTCAGTACTATTAGCAGTTGAGTTATGTTGGTATTTTTGCTTGGCAGTATGTCTCTTTTTTTCTTATGGTAAGCATGAAGGCTTCAGGGTTTTTTTGGTTTATGGTTATTTTAGGGGTTTTATAATAAAATTTTTTGGTAGAAAAGAACTAAGGCTTTGTTTCACTCTTAACTCCAGACAAGAGAAAAAACTGTTCAGTCCATATATTGAAACTAGAAAAAAACGCTCCATTTTCTCTTTGTTTTTAATTGTGTGCTTTGTTACTAGTGTCTTCTCTATAGAATACAAACATGGTCCATCTTTAAAGACATTACAGAGAGAGACAGGTAGGTTTAATATCCTATGTCCAATGCCATCTCTTAATCTTAGAATTGGGAATAGAACCAAAACCAGGAATGATTTGAAGTTTATTTCATAAGCAAATTAAGAAGGAATTGGGACTGAGAAACACTACACTGGGAGATGTAAAATGAGAAATTCTAAAGCATTTTTTATAATTTCTTTTTGCCTTTTTCTGAAGAGGAAACATTGACATGAACAATGAGTGGGACAACCAAATTCTCTCCAAATTTGCAGATTTATATTTTTTTTTAATCAGTGCCAAACAGCATTATTTAGTGATGAAACTATTCAGCTAAAAGATAGCCCAGCTCACTCCCAGCCCTATTTTTATATAGCACACAATACAGGTTTAAAATTAATCTCCTAGGTATCAATATAGGTGTTTTATTCTTAGTACCAAATGTATTTACTTTCTTTATACGTATGTACACAAGCTCTTACCGCATCTAATGTGTGGTAACCCATGTGTGGTAATCTAATGGAACTGTAGCAAGCTGTAGCTTGTAAATCAGCATCACAACAATTATCTTCAGGTGATGTCTCTAAGCTTCTCAGGACCTAATTTAAGGAAACCAATCATACAAGACTTAGGAAGTGGATATATTCTAATCCTAAAAACTTTAAAATTACTTAGCTATTGCTGTGCAATTCTTGATCATTATGGTCATTAAAAAAACAGAAGCAGTGTTTCTCTATGTTGTAGCATTTATTTTTGCTGTGCAGCTGAATTGTTGAGAGTGAGTTTTGTTTCATTTCATTAAGTCTACTTTTTTATTTTGAAATATTGCCTTTGAAATAATGAACAAGTGAAAGCAGTTTATTTTCATGAAACCAAATAGAATTTAGTGTAGTTTTGCTTTCTCTCTAAAGGCCCAGCCTCTATGCCACTGGTTTGAGTTACAGGATTTTCTGCCTTTGAAATTAGTGAGAATAGGATATATAGAACTGTAGTTTAGCAAACATCAGTTAAGCGATTTTATATATAGCAGCCACTGTTCAGTTTAGTTTCTTTACTGTTTAAAGTGGTAGGTGCATGAAGTACTGTAATACTTGGGCAGCTTTTATGCAGGTTAGGAATGTGTGCTTGTTTTGCCACCTTTGTTTGCTTGTCTTTAAAGTTCAGTTATAACCCCAGTGTTGTTATAATATATAGTAGTAGATATTGATGTAAAGAAGTAAAAAGAAGATACTGGTTAAAATATTATCTTGGCACTGTGGCTAAGTCTGTTCTTGAGAATGGTCTGTTGCATTTCATGGTGAGGAGACTATGTTTAAATGAACAGATTTTATCAATCTTTTTTTCAGTCTTCATTCATCTTTGCCTATGGTTAAACTACATAAATATTAATTTGCTAAAAAAAAAAAAAATCTTTATTGGTAGGCTTAAAAATCAGTTCATGTGGATGAAGCTTGTGCCCACCATTCTGCCTAACTTTAGGAAAGCTGTATCTTTTTTATTTGTTGTCGTTTAAGTGGTTTCTGTTTATTTAAAGGTATTTGTTTGAAAGCCCTCACGCATCTTAAAATTGGTGTAATATCATGTAGAAATCTCTCTATAATTTATAGCTGCAGTTATCATTATGCAGCACTGTAATGTCACTAGTATTTATACTTGACAGGAGATGTAATTTAGATGCTTCCCAGCTTTTTTGTATAGCTTGTAGGTGTTACCTGTTCAGTTACTTCGCTATATTAAATGCCATTGGGTTTATCTTAATGTACCTTTAATAAATTTAAAGACCTCATTGAGCAAAAAAAAAAAAAAACATGAATCTTTAATGGAAATTGAAATATTAATATTGGTGATAGAGGGTTAATAGAATGTCAGGAAAAAATACCATCTGGAGGATGAAAATGCTTTATTTGTAAGTTCTAAATTGAAAATGATTTCAAGGTGTTTTAAAAGCTGTAATGAGTCCCAAAATACTGGGGAATATGCATCCTAAAAATGCAGCGTGTAACTCAACTGTTGGTATTACATGTGAACAGAAAATCTAAAGCACTTTCTTGAATAATAATGAAACAAAGCACAGAAATTAATCTCCATAAAATGTCCCCAAGGGAATAAAAGACAGATGACTTTGTGAAAAGCATTCTGGTGTGCAAGGAGAGGAGACATTTCTCATCTTTCTGTTGATGAGTAGTCTTTATTTACTCACATGGAGTAAGTTTTGATATTCCTTTTCCTTATTTTCTTGAGCCAAGGATGTTTGAATATGCCTACCCATTTCCACAGAATGGGACATTAGTTGAGTGCAGATGTTTCTAGATTTTGTGGATGCTCATTGTGTATCAATACGTAAGTGGTATTTTCAAAGTTTCTCTGTTAAAGCTCCGCTTACACTGAAAAAGAGGAAACTGTTTTCCTTCCATGCTTCCAGAAACATCTCACTTAATAATACCACTAAAGCTTTGTCTGTTCTGTGGCTTGATCCTGAACTGGTTTCTGTTTTCTTAGTCAGAAATGAATGTTGTGATGGTTAGATTTATCAGCTGTGAGTAAGGATGGGATCTATTTTGGAGAACTGAGATGTAGAAGACTTAAGGTAATCTCTGTTCTGAATATGGATGTAATTATTTACACATTGGATTTCTTGAGTTCAGTTGATTGGATATTGAATAGAGCAGCTTCTGGAGTCATGTTGAGTATTATGGTTGTAACCATTTGTGCTTTCAGACTTGTAACTGTATCTACAA